TTTTTTTTTTTTTTCTTTGCTACACGACTATTATATTCATCGATCTAGCTACAACCGAGTTGCATAATTCCAGAGATCAACGACACGTACGTTATAAATTCCCACTATCGACACGGAGAATCGTACGATTGAAACGCAGACTAACTAACTACGATACTAAAGTATGTCCAAGGACAAGAATGAAACGAAAGTTACGAGTCTCTGTGTGCGCGTATACTTTCACGCAGAAATAACGTAGAGAATAGGAATGCTCGCGTAGTAAGAGAGTACTCACCTCTCTCTCTACTTCTTCTAGATGGAGTACCTAAGATATTTAACATTCCTCGCAACGAGACACGTTCGCGTTTACACGTTGGCACTCCCCTTAAACATCGCCGCTTTCCCGTGTCGAAAGAAACGTTAGACTTTCCGACAACGATACCAGCTAGATAATAATATTATCGTGTAACCAGCAAGTATAACATTGTCTACTTGCTACCAACACGTCAATCGTAACTGTATTTTAATCGTACTTTTAATTACACATTATTTTAATCCTGTCGGGAATAAGCTTCGTCGTGCCATTTTATTTTTCTTCAACGTAAGACTACAGGTTACACTTCGAAACACCAAAGTAACAGGGCACGCATCTACTATTTATAAAAAAGCTGAGCTAATCACTATTAATTTCCAAAATTTTACAAATTCTATCAATCGTCATCTTTCAAGCTTCCTCCTGAACCTCGTCTCGCTCCAACCCTTACTAATCATCATTCTAAAAGTAAAGTAACTTTGGAACATGCTGTCCGATTCGAACATCGAAAGAGTTCGAATTTTCAATCTATTTTCTAAAAAAAAAAAAAAAAAAAAAAAAAAAAACAGAAGAAAGAAAGAAAAGGAGGAAGAAGATTTTGAAATTACCACAAGATATGATTAATTCTATCGCAACTAACAGAAATACAATTCTCAACAAACGAACGATTCGCTTCTGTAGAATCATTTATGGCGTAATAAATAAATACCAACAGATTCTTAAGTAGTTTAAAAGAAAATACAATATGGCCGTGGACGTGGTTTTCGAACAATCACCAGAGTCACAAGAGATAAAGATAGTTTCAAACTTGGAGATTACGATTTTTACGAGAAAGGCAAGTAGAATGGGGTTTGAAACAGGCACGTAGACGGCCCTGCGTCGAACGTAGCGGAGTGTTGCATACCACATCTGTGAAGAAGGGCCCCCACCTGTTTCAGGCTGGCCGCCTGAACGAGCTGGCTCGAAGGTGGGGACGAAAGAAACGTCAGTAGGCGCGGCAGTTTTCTGACGCCGCTTACCTAAGTAACACACGTCGTGTGTGCTTCTCGTGTCCAACTCGCGTTCATTTTCCTTGTGGAAAACCCCTCTCGTCAGCTTCTCTCGTGGCCGTTTACCCCGTCAGTTGTCGCCGCCGTGAGTGCACCCTCACGGCCCTGGCCGATCGATACGGCCAACTGCAGCACCAGGACGGCGGACAGCTCGTTCTCCAGAATAGAACGGCCTAACTGACGCAGACAGGCGACCTCTGCCTCGGCGTTCCTCTTAACTGTAAGTCAGGATATCCGTGGACAAATTTGTAGAGACGTTTGTTCCGTCATTTCGAGCTGTTGATAGTGAGTTTGCAGTGGAAATCTGGATGGCTGGCAGAGCTGGGAGAGTGGAGGACTGGTGCTGCTGTGACGACACGTGAGATCGAGAGAAAGCGTGATTTGTTGCCCGTTGTTGGCTCCTTTTCGCGTCCGTGGTCCGTAGATCTTGAAGTTGAGAGTAGATCTCGAGGCAAAACTGTACGTGAACTATGTTTACTTCGATATATTAGTCGTGCGTACATCATTCATGCCATTTTTTTGGAGAGAGGCGATTTGGAGTAAACCGTGGAATTTTTCGATCGATTGATGATTTCGTTAAGAAGAGATTATTATTCTATCTGACGTGTAATATCGTGGTCGATCTATATTTTAATCAGTCGTTTGTTAATTTTATTTATAAAAATTCAAGGGACAGTAAAATTTTAGTAGTATCATTCTACTTGCGAAATTGAAAGTGAAATTTTCGAGTATCTTTTAATCCTTCGTTTACTATGTTTTATTCCTCGGAGAACCAGAATTAGCTTTGAGAGAAGATCCATTATTTTCCATTCCCATTTGAATTGATTTTAAAAGGAGATTCACTGTTTTCTTTTAACATGCTTCTTGCAAGTCGTACATACGTTATAATGATGTTCAACGTTCACTGGGAAAACAAACGATTTGTTTGTTTCCCGATCGACAATTTCAAATCGAGAGACACGTGAAGGTAAGAAAAAGAGGCATAAAATTGCCACGCAGCCGTTTGAATCCAGGGAATGATGAAACGCTAGTTATTGATATATGTAATGAGCGAGTCGCTGTTTGTTCTTCGAGCGCAACAATCCTCGTGTTCATTTCGTGAGAGGTTTTTCAGGGACGTCACGGAAGAACAGGAGAATTCATTATAGGCTGCAACGTTCGTTGAACGCCAGCTGTTCTGCCATCGTATTTCCATGATAAATGCGGTGTAATTCATGTCCACGTCAATGACAGTCCTGCGACATGCGCAGCAATACCTTTGTTCTTCGTACCACGTAACGTAAAACTTCAATTTTAATTTTCACTCGTGGTTAATTGTTACTTCCTTCTCTCCAGCCCTCCCTTCAAATTACACTCCGTTTTTCATTCTCATTTTTCATTCCACGACTTCGCACTTACAAGCGAAAAAGATTCTTAATCTTTTCTCGTTGCTTGATAGACTTCTAAAATAATATAATTATTTTTGAAGCAATTTACTCGAAGATAAATTTTCGAACGTAGGAAGATGAATTTTCATTACCTTTCAGAAAACAAGAACTCGAACTCTCGAAGATTGAGATCGTTTATCCAAATACGAAGTTAACGTTCGAGTTGATAATTCATAAGGTAGTCGAACTTTCTAGCACGCGTTAATGAAAGCAATCTGTCGAATTTCCAATAAATCACGCACTGTTTTGCCAAGTTTCGCGAAACACGACTTCAGTCGTGTTCTTTGATGATCTTTTGCTTTGTAAGTTGATTCAGTGTTGCCTGTGCAAGTCTCGTAAGTTGATTTAGCGTTAGCAGAGGAACCCCAACATCGAAGATCGTTGCCAGCTTCCAATGATCCAAGATGTACAATTCCTTGCGAAAAAAACTGTGTCGTGTAGTAATTCGTATGATCGATGCTGCAACGAAATCATGGAAACGACGTTGTGCATCTGCGATCAGTGTATACTGATGCGAATGATTCGACGATGAATCACTCTAGCCGTGGGGAACACAGCGACTTCGACCGCTTCGCGAAGCAATTTTCTGAAGTAAATGATTCACATCGAATTTTTGATGAGACGCAAAAAAAAAAAAAAGAATTTTTCAACTGAATCTTGTTGTTGATTAATATACATTTTACTTCATACAGAATAGTTGAAAATTAAGTTTGACTGCTTGATTTTTTGAACATGACCTTCGTCCTTGGTCTCAAAAAAAGTTAACTGTTTTCTCATGAAAGTTTTTAGAAATAATTATTATTTTTCGCTTCTAGTTATTCTGGAAATAACTTGTTATTAGGTGTTTGTATTTTATCTTATCTGTGACTTTTTACCGTTCAATATTCTCGTAGTGAGTTCAAATGTAACGCAAATAAAATTCTACTATATGCATAATTTTCGTACGTTTCCTCGAGTCTTTCTTCTTTCTATGAAGAAATAATTCTAAAAGGTGAACGATTATTCGCAACTCGGCGCGCACCGTCGCGGCGTTCAGGTATCAAGCATTCTCAAAGGTGGCTCTGAAACATTGAGAACGACCTACTTTCGTAATTACTCTTTCATTGTTGTAACGTTGCATTGGCTGGTTCAATGTAGAGTACACTAGCCTTACGTGGTCGACGCTAATCCAATCAAACCTCGTTGACACCGGGTCATCGTTGCACAATGATAATTTCACGCTCCTAGGTGATAAATCAACCAAAAACTCTTGCAATTTTTATCATAAAAACTCTAGGTATATCCTGTAATTTCTCTATAAATACAGAACGAATAAATTAGGTATATCTTCGTCGTCGCGTGTTGCAAAATGATTGGAAATATTTTTTTTTTTTAAATCGCTCTGAAGACTGCCGATCCAAGAATCGTCGCTCCTCTCGGCTTGTACAAGGGATACGAGAAGCAACCAAGGTATCTCATACGGTGAATTTAATGCGGAAACCCGTTTCGACTTTCACAACTGGCGATGGCTAAGCCGTTCACCGTTTGTGGTTTTGGCCACATACGTTAACACGTAGCCCAGAATGGAGATCGAAAAAAACGTTCGATGAACTCCAGGGACTGACTTATTTCGTCGATGATGTTCTCATCTCGTAAACTGCAAAACAACACAGCTAATGTAGAGCGTAATATAAATATTAAGATAGAAATACAGACTCCAAATATTTGTGAAAAATTTCAATGTATAAATGTGTACAAAAAATCAGATTACAATCTAGTAGAAAGTTTTAATAAATGATTGGGTAACGCAGAATTTCAGTCGTTCTATCTGAATATAGTTCAAGCATCAATGATCAGGTGCTTATAATCCCATTACGCATCATTTTCAAATTGAAGTTTAAAATAAAAAATATACATCGTACTAGAGGAAGAAAATCTAATCTCGATTAAGAGATCGAAGAGATGGCCGGTCGAGTTAGTGGGACGAAAGAAGGCTTGTACGAAAACCAGTTCTTCTAACAGTCATCGATGCCGTGACTGTTGCAGGTCCAGGAGCGTCTGGAGGATCCTCCACTCCACGTGGAACCGGTATGCTCGTCCGTTTGTGACATCGTCGACGAAGTGTGCCACGCACTCCGCTCCTCCAGAGACGAGAACGCGCGCGAGCTCGTGCGATTGCTGAGGAGCTCGCATTTGAAAGCGCTTCTGGAGACGCACGACGCGGTTGTCAAACGGAAGGAACAACCATCAAAACCGGAACCACCGTTATTAATAATGCCTACCAACGAGAGGACGGAAGCTGTGAGGATGGTCGGCCTTAGGAGGCAACCTGACGAACCTTTGGTAAGAATTCTTGAAAGAATTAATGAAAATACACAGGCTTCCGGTGATTATTGTATAATCAACCTAATTGTAAGTAGTAAATTTACGAAATGTCCAGCTTACTTCTTCCAAATTTAAGCTCGTAGGAAAAAAAACTCACGTTAATACTCTGATTACTCATAATGGCTAGTAATAGGATATTTTCATTATAAATCTCCTTCAGATTTAATGTGCATGATTTGTTGTTTCTTTAATGTAGAAATGCTTGCAATAGACGACAAAGTTTAATAGAGAGACACGAATATTTGATGATTTATCAGAATATCTAATCCTGGTCGTTTGAAAGCTCGAATATCCAATATGTCCTTGGATATCGTTCTTAAAAGACAGCTGAATTCGAAAAGTTACGGATGTTTGGTTCCTTTGTTTGACCGTTTGTTTCGTTGGTGAAGAAAGTGACTGACGAGAAGGCACGTCAAAGAATAGTATAACTGTTTGCACCGACTTTCTCGTTCGTGGATCTAGTTTTAGAGGTTTACCATACCGTTCACGTGAGAGAATTCCCATTCTGAATCGGATTTAATACGGCCGGGCGAAGAAAAGACGGAAATGCCATTCGCAGTTCATAAATAATTTGGAAATGTTTATTATCCGTTTGATTCTGATTCGAGGCCACGTGGCCTGTTCGATGAATCTGGCATGTTGCTTCAAACGCAGAGGCAAAAGTTCCCAGCTTTATACCGAGTAGAGGAAACATTTTAACAGAAATGTAACATGCAATTCTCCCTTGCGTTAACATTTCGGAAATTTCGAAAATTCATATAACACGTTTGACGAGCAATAAAACTTCTGGAGACTAAGGATTCTTCTCTGTAAAGAAACGGAACATCACAATTATTGATGCAATAATTCTTTTCTAAAATAAATACGATTTCGATCACGCGAGTGAGAATTCCATCAAAATCAACTGGCTGTATTAAAAAAGAACAAGCGCAATATATTGTTAAGATATATTGGCAGATTCAACTGATACGAACTACTGACTATTTTCAATGTTCACGATCATTCTCTTCATTGTCAACGTATGATAAACGCATTGTCGACAAACAGAAAGCAGAAACTCCATGATCTTGAACGTTTCCTTCCATTAACATTTGTGTTTACGCAAATGGAAACAATAAGTCTTCACAGAAGCAGCATTGCAAGAGTATAACACCAAAAATTGGAACGAACGTAGAATCGTCAACATCGACATGGCCTCGACAAGAATCGCCGATTGTTCTCCAAATGTACCAAAAGTAACGAACATGGTCGCGTTCGATGGAACTCAGACGAGTTTATTTTCATTTGGTTTTTGCGCAGGGTCTGACGGTGCAGGTCGACGAATCTGGCAATTTGATCATCGCGAGGATCCTGGGCGGAAGCACTGCTGCTCGTCAAGGACTTCTGAGAACCGGCGAGGTGATCCTCGAGGTGAACGGAAAGGAAGTTCGCAATCCCGAGGAACTTCAGGAAGCCATTCACGAAGCGAAGGAGAATTTGTCGCTGAAACTTGCACCTGGAATTGCCTCCGATGGTAATCGACCTGTGAAATCCACGGTAAGCAAATTATGTATAATTTTATATAATGAATCTAACGTATTAAGAATTTTTTCTGTTGTTTTCTGAATCGTTCATAATCTGTCAATTTGTTTATCGAATCATTCTCCAGTCACATGATTAAAAATTATGGAGGCTACGATTGACGAGGTTGAGTCAAATGTTCATCGCCACGTCGTGTCAAATTATGTTGCATTAAAATATTGTACATATTTAATAATAGATCGAAATTTAAAAAGATAAAAGTAAAATTTTTGAAAGATCAATTCCTACAAAATTCATACAAAAAAAAAAAAAAATGTATTTAATCGACTTCTCAGAATGTTCATGATTCTATGTCTATTTGAAACATGTGGTTACCATTTCCGTTTCTCAACAAGAGATCTCTTAATGCTATTACATTTAAATTTTAGTACTTTGCTGACAGAATTTATTCAATAGGTAAAATATACTGTTAAAATCTTATCGTTGAAAACATAAGTTCTAGCACTAGCTTTGCATTCCATATATAAATAAATAATAAGATGAATCGAGAATGAGAAATACGATTCTAAAAATACTTGAGAATAAGCTTTACATCGTATTCTCTGTGATATCGATTTTTTCCCCATTAATCATTTCTATATAAATTTTTAAATTATTTTCCTCTTGGTAGTTTTACGTATAGAATTGAAACTTGGACAAACATTTACTGAATGTTACAACGAAAACATTATATACATATTGTTGCATCTTTAAATTTTCTACAACTACGTGGAAATGTTTCTCTCTTGTAATCTTCGATTTATTTCCACGTTACAGTGCTATATGAGGGCCCTGTTCGACTACGATCCATCGGAAGATACCCTGTTACCGTGCAAGGAGATTGGACTTCCGTTTCAGAAAGGCGATGTGTTGCAAATCGTGGACCAGGCGGATCCAAACTGGTGGCAAGCTCGACGAGTCGAAGGCGAAGGTCTAGGTCCTCCGGGTTTAGTTCCGTCATTGGAGTTAGAAGAACGGAGGAAAGCGTTCGTGCCACCGGAAGCGGATTTCGTACACAAGATTAGTATCTGCGGGACCAAAATCTCAAAGAAGAAGAAGAGGAAAATGTACCAATCGAAGTCGAACGGTGAATTCGACAGTGCAGAACTGTTGTTGTACGAAGAAGTGGCTAGAATGCCGCCATTTAGACGTAAAACCTTGGCATTGGTTGGTCCGAGGGGTGTTGGCCGCAGAACATTGAAGAATAGGCTGATAAATAGCGATCCTGAGAAATTCGGCACCATTGTTCCGTGTAAGTGTCAATATCGTGAGATCTTGATTAGAATGACGGAGAAAACTGATAAGAAAGCATTCATATTGTAAAATTTTCGGGGAGCCTTCAAAGCTTGAAATTTAGGATAACACATAAAATTCAGCTATATTGTACTACGGAGATAAAATTTCAAATTACTATGGAAGAAAGTCACAGAAGCGAATCTCAATTCACTGCGTCGAAATTAAGTTAGGAAAGTTGAAAAGACTCTGATAACGTGAACGTTTAGCTATTAGGATTATAATACTGACTCATAGAAATCATATGTTTCTAGATACTTCACGACCACCCAGAGTACTCGAGGAAGATGGCAAAAGTTATTGGTTTACTGATCGCGAATCGATGGAAACGGACATTAGAGAGCATCGTTATCTCGAGTACGGAGAACACGGTGGCCATTTGTATGGTACAAAGTTGGATTCTGTGAGGGAGTTGATCAGAGCTGGGAAAATGTGCGTTTTGGACTGTAGTCCAGCTGCTCTAAAAATACTTCACAACAGCACGGAATTTATGCCCTATGTCATTTTCATAGCGGCGCCAGGAATGGAACAATTGAAATGGCTGTACGATCTGGCGAGGTCGACTGGAACTAGCAATCGAAACTTGACGGTAATTATGAGACTATCACTGCTATACATTACTCTCCTTTATATTATATATTTTTTGTCATCTTCGGTATGAAAAAGTAATTATATTTTGCGAATTGAAGTCTCTATTGAATGTGTTGTATTGTTACGATAGGATTGCTAGTATCATTAATGAATTTTTACTCAATGAAATCATTGATAAATATTACATTATTAGTCAGTTTGCAACTGTTTGAAATACGTTTCTGCGAAAAAAAAGAAGCGTATTTAAAAATTCAGAGAGCGATTTGCTGAAACTTCTGAGAATATGCTCGAATTTCTCGTACGAAAGATAAGAAAACAAAAAGCCCACTTGGAACGGAGCGAGCCTGCACGCGAAATTTGTATAAAGAAGAAACACATATCGACGGCCGCGTTTCAAATAAACATAGTCATCAAATTTTTACGATGCAGCCTTCCGAATCCTGCCTGCCAGTCTGTTTGCCGTCGTCATGTAAATACGTATAATTTGCCTATTGTAAATGTATCGCATGCACTTTCGTTCGATTACAGAGATTCAACGATTAGTTTCTCTCTCCCATGAAAATTTTCTTGCATAAAATTCATTTTCAAATACTGTGTCCTTTCTATCCCACATCGAGTATTTTTACACGCTGCCCGTCACGTAAATCTCTTCCCTCAATTGACGTAGAATTCTTTATTTAATCTTTCGTATGTATTTGATATTGGCTTTGCTAGTTTGACCGCCAGAGTTCCATCAGGTACAGCTCGAGAAGAGCCAGGACACTGGAGTCCCTTGCTTCCTTGTACGAGGTTTGTATTTGCATGTATATGCGTTTTATTTCTCTTTTTTCGTTTTATCGTAATTGCTTGTAGACATATAGCATTATTGCTAGAAATTGTGCCACTTTGCGAGAATCACGCGAGATTGATACATTCAACGAAATATTGTAACTTGTATAACATGTAAATATAATTTATAATAAAACTCGGGCTAGTAAGCTAGTACGAGGTGAAGAATAAATATTCTCAAAGAAACTGAAAATTACAATTTTTCTGTGAAGTGTCAAACTTGCGTGAATTAAATGCAATAAGAATTTACTCTTCTTCAAGTTTCACAAAATCTACAACTTAATTAAAGTCTGTTTTCCACTAACCAGGAGGACGATTTGAAAGCAACGTTGGAAGAATCGGCGGCCTTGCAGCGTGCCTACGAGAAATATATCGACTTGGTAATCGTGAACGAAGATTTCGATAATACATTTAGACAGGTAATCGCCGCGTTGGACGCCTTAGCCACTGAACACCAATGGGTCCCAGTAAATTGGATCTATTAGACACCAATTAAAAACATCTTCTGAGGGAACAAATAATTTCAGAATGCACGGCCCAAAGTCGCGCTTTCGAGCGGAACAAAGAATTGTTGCATTGTTTTCTGTAAAACAGGCAATGACGACATACCGATGACTGTCAAACCCCGGTATCGAGTGCATCGTTATTATATTTATAGCGTCATATCGCCGTGCAATGGAACAATTTTATGGTCATATTATGTGTATACAGAGTTTTGCTGTGTTGTGTATATTATCTTGATCGAATGTATAGATACTTTTAAACAAATGACGCACTCGAATCGGATAAGGAACGTATCAGAAGTCTTCGAGCAACCAACTAGTTTCTGAAACGAAAGCAATGAACTTCAAACATGCCCATTCTACTTACGACTGGAACAAATACTCGAGGCTATGAAAGCCAACGACAGATAGTGTCTCGTGTTACGATGCCGTTTCTAGCAAGTACAATCGTTTAGCATTTACTTTATTTCGTTTTAGCTTTACGAAACGATCCGTTCCGCCTTCTAAATTTCATAAATCCGCACACCGAGAAAACAGAAAGGTTTAATTAGAAATTCGCACGGATATTATTCAAAGATAGAAGAAAATGATAAAAAGATAACAGAAAGTTAGATACCCTTTGCTAATATAATTGAAAGGCTAAGTGGAAAAGTAGTGAAAGTGTATCTTTTTTTTTTTTTTCCAAAAATGTAATTTTTCACGTTAATCGCAGTAGCGTTATAAAAAAAAGTTCTCGCATACATTCCCCTTTATTGTTCAGGACAATTAATCGAAGACGGGTCGCGATTAAATTATACATTATGAACCGCCGTCCAATTATTTTTAGAATACGCCTAGTTCTAATTTTTCTCGAAACCATCAGCCTGCATATGTACGTACGTTTATTTACTTTTCGTCATAGGATGTACTTTTCTTTTATAGAGATATCTATATATACATATTATACATTATGCTATATTTCATGGATCCTGTTTGTACCACTTGTGCACGTTGAACATATTCCTGGCATAGAGTGCCTTAATAGCGCAGCCCTTTAACCGGCTTGCGGCGAAGACCTACTATGTCGAGACGAGATATTCTCCGATACTCGAGAGTTTTACGTAAGACATGTCTAGTAACACGTTTTTTCTAATGCTCTAATACGCATACACGCGGAAACACACCGTTGCACATCATTGTATATGCGTTTAGCCGGAAGTTTCCGATCGTGCCACGTGATATGTACGGAAAAATAAAGTTTTATCGAGCGTTTGTTATGAATATAAATTACTAGAACCTTTCTATCGCTCCCCGTCATTCTCATTTATTTCTCTCGTCAGTTTTTTCATTGTTGAAAATTACAAAATGAAAGACTTAACGTTATAAACAGATTATTTTGTAAATCATACTGATCGTTCATCCTTTGTCTTGCGGCTTTTTTCCCCCACATGGTCATTTTTAATTTTATGTGATATTAGACCAAATGAATTAAAGTACCAATATAATACTAAAATATCAGAATTATAGTCTAAAGAATTAGAACAAAAATTTTACAAGTATAACTACAGTTGACTATGTATAAATACTTTGATAAGATAAGAAGTTAATTATATGTTTGAAACGAATATTGGTTTAACAAGATAAAAGATTCATACCTCCATAAAGGATAATCAAACGAATAAACACTTAGAAATATCATAAAATTTTTGTCATAAATTGAAGGAAATCACTTTGTAATGAAAATTCGAACTTCGTGAAAATTTTAAATTAACTTAATAGATGAATATAAAAGATGATTGGTTATCGAATGTACTTGATGTGTGAACGATAACCAATCATGTATTGTTATCTGCCACGTTTTCAAGTTGCCGCGTTGTCACATATGTATTGCGGGAAAAGTTAGCACGCCGAGTGTAATTCAGGCACGGTTCTAGCCGTGTTTAATTAGTTTATTTTATTATTGACAGAAAATGCAAATATTACGGCAATTAGACGTGCATCCAAAAGTGCGCGAGGAGGCAGATATTCTCGTGAGAACTTTCAGTGGTGCCGTTGGTAAAGTGTTTCATTTGTCAAACCTTATACCGCTTATCGGTTTTGTTGTGATACTAATATACAATAAACTTTTTAACGATTTTGTTGACTTTCTAAAATCGTCACGATGCTGAAGAACTTTTGAATTACTCTACTTTCTCCAATCTGAAATATTATTTTAAGATATCATGATATGATAAATAGATTTAACCTCAATATTTAATAGAAATAGAAAATCTTATTATTCCCAAATCGAATATCGTTATTTCTTAGAACTTTGTTGAAGCTATATTTTAAATTACATTCGTTAAAATTTTTTACTATTTCATAATTATTATTTACATTTGTTATTGGATGTAAACAAAGTTTATAACCTAAATTCACTTGTATTTTCCTGTATTTTTTCAGTTACAATTATTAGTACCATTATTATGGGTATTTTATTTCTATCTGAAGTGAATTATTATCTTACTCCAACTCTGAGTGAAGAACTGTTCGTGGACACTTCAAGAGGTTCAAAATTAAGAATTAATTTAGATATAATTGTACCTACAATATCTTGTGATGGTAAGTAAAAATTATTTTATATATACAATTATACTTAATATATATTAAATAACAAATATTAAATTAAGTGTATTACAGTTTTATCGATAGACGCAATGGATACAACAGGAGAACAACATTTACAAATAGAACATAATATATTTAAAAGACGTTTAGACTTAAATGGAAAACCTATAGAAGATCCACAAAGAACAGGTACAAGATAATATTATAAGAAACGTAAAATATTTAAAATAAATATCAAATTAATCTTCTTTTCATTTTATTATAGACATTACTGACACAAAAGCACGTAATAAAACAACAGCAAAGGTAATTAAATTATATCATTCTTACAGATCTGTCTTTATAATATAGATTTTTAAACTTATACTAAAATAATTTTTCATAGATGGAAAACACTACTGAGAAACCATGTGGAGATTGTTATGGAGCTACTAGTGATATTATCAAGTACAGTATTACAAAAATTTATTATGTATTTTATGATAACCTATCGTATAATTAAATTAATTTTATAGATGTTGTAATACTTGTGAAGATGTAAGAGAAGCCTACAAACTTAAAAATTGGGCACTTCCTGCTCTAGGAATGATAAAACAATGTAAAAATGAAAAGTCAGTGGAGAAAATGAAAACTGCCTTTAGTCAAGGCTGCCAAATATATGGTTACATGGAAGTAAATAGAGTAGGTGGAAGTTTTCATATTGCACCAGGAGATAGCTTTTCTGTAAACCATGTACATGGCAAGTAAAAAAAGAAAAATATATTACAATCTCTTTGATAGACGAAAAATATTATTATTATGTTTTTCATTTTGCTTACAGTGCATGATGTTCAACCATATACATCAACACAATTTAACATGACCCATAAGATTCGCCACTTAAGTTTTGGATTAAACATTCCAGGAAAAACAAATCCTATGGATGATACCACTGTAGTTGCGATGGAAGGTATGCCTTTGCCCCATTAGAAATCTTTTATTAAGAAATTGACAGAATATTTTGGTACTACAATTTTTTGTATCCTAAATGTCAAACATAACAGTCTTGAAGTACTAGCATCTTATTCCACTCCCTATGGCCATGAATGTACCAAATGTTCCACCCCCTTGAACCATTGCTTTTCCAATGTTGGTTAACAATTCCTTTCCTCTTAATCCATATCTAGCGTAATAAACACCATTAGCTTTTTATTTCAAAGTTATTCTGTGAATTTAATCACAATAAATAAATATGTACCTAACAATAGAATATCCGCCAAACAGAACACCAGATGCCATGCCAACACAAAATCCAATCATAAAACCAAGCTTTATCCTATCCCAGCATGAAGGAGCCTGTTGATATATACTTGGTACAGCTGGCATTATATTCTATGGATATAAATTTATATAAACATAGCTTTATTTCTTTCACGGATGTTTCATAGTAAACTGGTTATAATTTATTTTTTTTATGAATTGAATATGTAGAACCAATTTTTAATCAAATATTTAACAGAAAATTTATGAAATTTTTTTAACACATTGTAAACTAATTATGCCTGCCATAATATGGATAAATAGATATTTATTATAAACGACATCTTATATCACTCACAATTTACACGCTCCGTTTTGGAATTTCTAATTCGTTTTCGCTTTATTACGATTCTTCGTCTTTTACAACTTGTAAGTTCTTAGCACAAATCGTTCAAGTAAAGTAAGGAAGATGCCATGTTAATTTTACGTATATAATACAAGATGGCTGCTTTTCCTACTTCCGTTCTCTATACGTCATTGATAATGGCGGATTATTCAATTAAAATACGTGAACAGTTCAGTCATAGACAAACATTTAATAGCTCTTTTACTTTTAATTTTGAAATACAAAATTATTAAACTTTCAGTACGTAATTATAATAACCTATCATTGTAGATGAAATTTTACGTAGATGTTTCGTTGTTTTTGTTTCAGGTGCGATGATGTTTTATCATTATATTAAAATTGTACCAACGACTTATGTTCGCGCCGATGGCTCTACATTATTAACAAATCAATTTTCTGTAACTCGACATGCCAGACAAGTATCTCTGTTTAGCGGCGAATCAGGGATGCCTGGTATATTTTTCAATTATGAATTAAGTCCATTAATGGTAAAATATACAGAAAAAGCAAAATCATTCGGTCATTTTGCTACAAACACATGTGCTATTATCGGTGGGGTATTTACAGTTGCTGGTTTAATAGATTCATTCTTATATCATTCTGTCAGAGCAATACAGAAAAAGATAGAATTGGGCAAGTATAATTAAAATTCAAATTAACTTATAAATTTAGAAAGTATTATAAAATACCTGAAAATATTTTGTACGACGGATGATTTGACCTTACACGTCATTTAAAGAATAACGATTTTTTATCGAAGATATTGTTGAAGAAATGAAAAAATATTTTTTAATTTAAGTATTAATTTTTTTATATTGTCCTAAACTTGCATTGACACGACAGAATAAACATTTTTCTGTAAGATATATAAAATTGTACATAAATGATTATAAAAATATATGAGAATATCTAATATTTAAATGAAGTGTATACAATAAAGGTTATACTGCTACAAAAAGAAGGCTGAAAATATAAATACTATAATTATATCATTATATAACATATTACATATTATATTACATATTAAATATTATAATTACAATTATATTTATTTTATACATTAAAAAGTTCTTAGAAAATCATTGTAAGTATGAATAGATGTTTTTGCAACATTTTCACAGAATTCATTGTCGCTACCTGTTACCAAATATAATGGTGACACATATAATGGTTTTGTAGGGTCATATTGGTCTTTTTTTAATTCAACTAAAAACCTATGTCTGACTTCAAGTCTTCTTTTCCTACATAGTAAAATTGTTGGTTCTTGACTAATAATATCATGTGATAACTGCATATGATTATGAAGGTAATCAAAGGTTTTTAATACTTCAGTTCTAGCTGTAATCAAAATAAAACATTATCACAATTAAATAGATAAAATATTTTCTTATTGTTACATTGTTATCATAAAAATTCATATTTATTTTAATTACCTCGAATTAAAACTCTTGGTGCTTTACGCAAGATACAATGTATTTCTAATTTAGTAAAACCCATTTCTTCTTTTATAGCAAAACTACTGTGTCTTATACGTTTCATATCATATGTTATAAGTTTTGGACATTTTACTGCTAAATTTCTTACTTGAGAACCATTTAGCTTAAAATTATTTTGAAAATAACCAAGTCTGTAATCTATCTCTTGTGTTTTAAAAGCCAACCAAGGTGGATGTTTATTTACTATTGTTTGTATCATCGTTATGTTAAAATCATGAGCTCTTAAATATCTTATTCTTGTATGAAGATCATCTATATCTTCTTTAAAAATCTTAGGAAATCTAGTGATGAAAAATCCAAGATTTTCTGAACTTACACCACAGTCGTATAAAAATTGTATGTATGGTTTCATATCTCTTTCAAAATCTAGTTGCAGAAACATTTCTAATACTTCTTTATCTGATTCTATTTTGTACAATTCAACTCCTAATTTAACTAATTGTTGAATAGTACGCGAATCATTTGCGAATTTTGCAAAATTATAAGTTCCTGTTATATAAGGTCCAATGTGAGACAAGTCTTCTTTGCATCGATCAAACGGTCCTGGCAATTTTTCATCTATCTCTTCCACAGCATCGTCAATTTTATAAACATTTTTTTCCAAAAATTCAATATTATATGACGGTTTCAGTTCATTACCTTCTGAATTAGTTACTTGTGTTACTGTTTCATTATCTCTTGCAAGTGCATTACCAATTGACTTTTTATAACCTATATTATCAAGCATAACATTCTTTGATTTATCATTAATACTTGTTGTTTTATTTTTAGGTATATTAGTTGAATAACAGTAGAAAAGATTAGAATTTTTAATTACGCAATTTTTTATTTCATTGGTATTGCAAGATTTCAAGCGTAAAAGCATATACAGTCGAGAAGTCATTATATTTAATAATATTATAGTGTAAATGCACAAAATTATAAGATTACATGAAATATAATTTTTAGTTACTAAAATGTAACAAGATAAACTTTCTTTTTATGGTTTAGGTTAAGTGTAGTTATTGTATATTTACTGAAAATTATTGACAACCATAGACAAAATACAACTTAGAAGGTAGATTGCATACTATACCATACAATTATAGACTAGACAATATCATGGTATAAACACAATATGTATATGTAGTAGACAGTGGTTAATCATTATTAAAAATTGTCTGAATGTTGGTTGGTTATTGTTGCAGTAACAAAAATTTATTTAATTATAGTTTTCATGTTTATAGTTATATATTTTATACCTATTTTAGGTATATGATAGAATAAAGTAAATAAATTTATGAATGAAGAATAATACTGATAAAAAATTAATATAGAAAAAGAAATACACAGTTTTAAGAAGAAATATTTTATTACTTAAATTTAGGCACGCGTTAAATATTACAACGGCAAGAAATTGTTCATTTACACAAATATACAATAAAAAAAGATTCATATATGGATATAATACATTCATAGTATCCTTTAAGATTTAGTTTTTGGAAAAAATTATACATTCACACGTACACACATACTTACATATAGATAGAGCCTAATTATTACTTAATTATGCCATTCATCAGCTTTTGTAACAAGCAATATGTGTTACAATAGTAAGTACATTGGTAATAAAAACATTGATCCATATTTCAACGTTAAAATAAAAGTAGAGAATTGTCGGAATGTACCTTAATATAAGATAATAATATTCTCTCAAGAATCATGTAACATCTTGCAATTTTCAAATTGCGTGCCGTACTGCAATTTGGTACATCATTAATTTTGAATAAATTATTTGCAGAATTCTGAATTCGCATCATATATACATGACATAAGATTGGAAGTACAGTCAACTGACAATGGAGCTACTCAACTTTGATATGAATTACGATAACAATTATATCGGTAATAGTGTCTTAAAAAAATGCTATGTTGAATATTCGCCAAATTTTACAATGCCATTATATATCATCCTACTTGTGTCAAAAACAAGCCAATACTTGTTGTTTCATAGTAATGTACATTTTTATATTTCATATTTTTTCATTCTTGTTATTGGACTAGAATGATTATTCCTGTTTTTCATTCACAGAGTCATCTTCCATTTCCCGATTTCTCGCTTGTTGCCTTAATTGTGCTCTCTTTAAACTGGTCATTAACTGGCTAGATTGATAAAGCCAGCTAGCCTAAATTGAAAATCAGAAGAATAATATAATAAATACATATATTGTTATAAATTGATTGACATTTTTAACTACTTACAATCATGATCATGCAATTCATCAAAATAGGCACAGAAAATACTACAGATATGAAGAGTCCTTTAGAATCAAAATATTGTTGTCTTGAAAACAACCTATTAAAATTATATAAACATATAATCATGACATAATTATTAAAATTATTAAAATATGATAATATGATCATCTTTAATTAAGAAACTTACATCCAATTAGATGCAGCAACTTCGTTTATACTTTCAGAGAAATATACCAAGAGTACTGCAACATAAACACATTATTGCAATAATCATAAATAGCAAATAAATCATTTTTAATGTGAAATATACTTACACAAAGCAAGGAATAACATAATTTGAAAATTGGCATGGTTTCGTGTCATTAATGCAGTCATTGTAATGGCAATATGGAAAGTTAACAATAATGCAAGCCATGGATCTCGCCATTCAATCTGCAATGGAATTCAATTTAATTTAATTCAAATGTGTGAATAGTTTCTTTATATATTCTTTATATATTCTTCAAAAAAATAGTATGCGTTATATAATAAAAACAAAAATATTTGCCAGCTATTAAAAAACGAAATACAAAAAAGGAAAACTTATTATATATTATTAGATATTGAATAATTATCTTCCATAAGTGTTGAACATGTAATATGTGTATGTATTCACAAGTCATTGAATGATGTGTATATATATTGTAAATAGTTTCTATGAGTCTGTGTTAATATAGTCGATATTCTGCTAAATCACGAACGCATACACGTAAATATTAATTGACTAATAAAACTGCTGCTATAATTTAGTCAAGAATGGAACAAAAAATAAATAAAAAAACTGGAAATCAGACATGTAAAGTATGATGCAGGTACCAAAAATAAATTTTCGGCGAAAATATTTATTCGACATAGATGTCATGGCGAGAAAATTCGAGTTGAACTACATAATTACGATTAGTAAAAATTTAACGAACGTATATAATCAAACCACAGATTGGTTGACATGTGCGCCAGTGTTCTCGCATTGCTTCTCCGCCGGTCGTATTGAAAATGAAAGTGGTTGAAAACATAAGGCAGTTTTGAAATTACAATGAGACGTGTCAGCCGTAGCTGGAAAACGAAGCTTACGTTTAAAATAAATTGAGTTACTCACGCTTTGTAAAAACGGAAGAATACCGTCGATCGGAGACTTGACTTGATCCTCCGACATCGTGTCGTTGAAATTTGGGCTGCAGCGCCCTATAATAACTTCTTTTCGATAGATTTGGATGTCAACGAAATGAACGAACAACGTCGAATGCAGATAAATGCCGCGAATACGGCGACACGGGGAAAAAACAAATATCGCACAGGAATGGTTTTGTCCTTCTTCTCTGTAGCTTTCGTCTTTCTCGTTTTGACGCACTTACACGACTTCATAAAATTTAACAGCATTACACGTTCAAAATACATAGCAATTCATCGTATATGTATGTTGCGCCATCTGTGAACGTGATGTGGATTTAAATGCAGCGTTCACGGTCGTCGTTATTGTATCGATATCATCCTTCAGTCGATATTTAAATTACGCGCGATTATGAGAAATAAATTAATCGATTGATTTAAAACCGGTTTAAAAATTTTTACGTCTTTATGATTTGCGTATTCGTATAAAATGGGCAGTTTTTTTCATAGTTTATAAATTAACGTAAACTTCAATTACGTAAATAACGTAAATTGATAGGAAATTTAATTTTATATATTTATCACTTTGAATTGCAATTATAACTCTAATTGCTTCTCTTTTACGTAAGTAGGCGAAATATAGAATTAATCTGTATAATCATGTTTATAACATGGAATTCTGTGTAATAGAATAAAAATATAGAATTTCATCCCACTTTAGTGCAGATAATCGATTTGATTGTATTACACTGTACGAGGAACACGATTTCCTCACATAGTAACAATATGTTTAGTCCTGTGCTGCGCAATGCAGATACATAAATATGAATGCAGCAAATACAATGTAATCTTCAATGCGATTTAATTAAATGTTTAAAATGATTTATATGTTACAGCATTGTGACGAAACGTTTACGAAAATATTTTTACGCATATAATATATATATATATATATATAAATTATTATATATATTATATATAAATAAATTTATATATAATATATATAATTTATATGTAATAAATTTATATAAATATATATATATATATTAATAAATTTTTTTAGAGCAATTATATTCAATAATGGAGATCAACATGTAAGCCAATTAAATATGTGATGTAGACTTTTTAGTAGGCTTCTAATTTGTCTTATTATTAAATTATTAGATTATTAAATTTACGCTTTTTAATATGTTGATATAGACTTATTGCACTTTTATATATATTTGATATACATTTTTGATATACATACGTTCTGTGTATTTCTGAACTTTTATATTTTTCATAAATAGACTGCTAGGATGTTTGTGCAATTTTATATTTTTATTAAAATAATTTAAAAAATAGAATCTCGATAGAAAATTATTTTATTTACTAAATATTATAAGGAATATATTCTAAATATTTTACATTAATTATTATTACAATACTATGGAAATATTGTATTCTTCCTTGCATCTTTAAATCTTTCATAAATGCATAAACTCCGCAATCTACTCATGAATACATCAAAATCCATAATTTAAATATAAAATTTAATATGATCTTTTATGAAGCGTTGATTGAAGTCGTAAACAATATACTATCAAATGAGCAATGTCATTGTAACTTAAATGACGATTACGAAGTAAAAGATAAAACACGTGATCTTAATAAAAATACAATAAGTTTCAGAATACATGTAAGCTCGACTGCAATATTGTCTTTATTTTACATTTATTTGTGAATTTTAAAGCTAAAGAAAATTTTAATTGTTGCAACATGGTGTGAAAATGAGAACACAGTTAATTCATTCTAATCAGAGGAATTATTATATTGAACTTTAATCGTGTGTGTATTTATATACATATTTCGCTGACGAAGATTCATAATTCATGGAAAATGAAAGCAACAGTCGAGGAAACAAATTTGTCTGAATAAATGATATATCGTTCTATAATAGTTTTCCTGAGTATTTTTAAAGGCGAATTTATTGTCAATTGGTTTCATTGTTATTATATTCACTTTGTTGGGAAATAAATTATTCAAATATTATGTATGTATTACTGTTCATAATTTTAGGAGTATCGTAATTTTTTGGTTACAAAAAGAAGAAATATTGACGTTTCACCGAGGAGATAATTTATTGGAGGACACAAGTATCAGTCTAGTTTGTGTTAATCATTTATTAATTTTATTAAAGCTTTATACTACAATTTTTTTATTGAAATATGAATGACTTGTTTGTTCTTCTTTTTTAGGGAACAAAAGTTGTTATATGTAAATATGTAAATTCTCAAAATGATATTTTACATTCATATTGTATGATTACGGACTATGTCTTTCATTTTTATTATATTTTTCAGATTAATAATCACCTTTTAACAAAGTTCATTCGTTAATCAAGAACAATATGTGATAAACATATGATGATTCACTCTCAAATCAAATTTCTGACACGTATCGTAATATTATAGTAAATAAAATGTAAAAGTTGTTTACCATCTCCTTTAAGAACAAAAAGTTTTATCGATAACAAAGATCGTACAAGAAAAAGTTATAATATGATATCAGAGAGTATGAAAACTCATCGGTTCAGGAAGTTAATATATAAAACAATGCAATATTCACTTCGTGTATGATAAAAAAAAAAGGAGAAACACGTTGTAATTAATCAATCTATATTGAAACTTTTTAGATCATTCTCTTCACAATTATAATTCTATTAATATAATTTTAATGCTCTTAAGTTCAGTTAAAATTTTTTACTCATTATCAATTATTCCACATACGATACAATTAATTTCGAGCAAAGTGAACATCAGAATATTATCTTCTCACTTTCTTCGGGACCTCAATGTTAAATCCTTGCATATTCAATAATTTTCACTT